ATCAATTTATCTCAATATACCATATATATAATATATAATCTTTATTGACAACATTTTACACCATTTCTAGTCAAAGATACCTTTCATCAATTTATCTCAATATACCATATATATAATATATAATCTTTATTTACAACATTTTATACCATTTCTAGTCAAAGATACCTTTCATCAATTTATCTCAATATACCATATATATAATATATAATCTTTATTTATAACATTTTATACCATTTCTAGTCAAAGATACCTTTCATCAATTTATCTCAATATACCATATATATAATATATAATCTTTATTTACAACATTTTATACCATTTCTAGTCAAAGATACCTTTCATCAATTTATCTCAATATACCATATATATAATATATAATCTTTATTTACAACATTTTACACCATTTCTAGTCAAATATACCTTTCATCAATTTATCTCAATATACCATATATATAATATATAATCTTTATTTACAACATTTTATACCATTTCTAGTCAAAGATACCTTTCATCAATTTATCTCAATATACCATATATATAATATATAATCTTTATTTACAACATTTTACACCATTTCTAGTCAAAGATACCTTTCATCAATTTATCTCAATATACCATATATATAATATATAATCTTTATTTACAACATTTTACACCATTTCTAGTCAAAGATACCTTTTATCAATTTATCTCAATATACCATATATATAATATATAATCTTTATTTACAACATTTTATACCATTTCTAGTCAAAGATACCTTTCATCAATTTATCTCAATATACCATATATATAATATATAATCTTTATTTACAACATTTTATACCATTTCTAGTCAAAGATACCTTTCATCAATTTATCTCAATATACCATATATATAATATATAATCTTTATTTACAACATTTTACACCATTTCTAGTCAAAGATACCTTTCATCAATTTATCTCAATATACCATATATATAATATATAATCTTTATTTACAACATTTTATACCATTTCTAGTCAAAGATACCTTTCATCAATTTATCTCAATATACCATATATATAATATATAATCTTTATTTACAACATTTTACACCATTTCTAGTCAAAGATACCTTTCATCAATTTATCTCAATATACCATATATATAATATATAATCTTTATTTACAACATTTTACACCATTTCTAGTCAAAGATACCTTTTATCAATTTATCTCAATATACCATATATATATAATATATAATCTTTATTTACAACATTTTACACCATTTCTGGTTAAAAACAATACATAAAGTAACAAGTATAATCACATGATACAAATTAACAACATCAAATACTAATTAACAATACAGATATACAATCACAAAGGACGACTAGATGATAAACTAACAATAACAAAATATAAAAAATATTAATAATCACAGATATTTTCTAAGCGGAAATTACTCCCTATTTTCCTGATTTTGGGTTTCGTTTTGCTACATTTCAGATTGTTATTACCTGGTTTATTTATTCCTAGAAAAAATATGACAAGCGATTCCCCTATAATGAACATAACATTAGGTAGATGGAGAATTAAGTAGTTTAAAATAAAAATAGCATCCAAAGTTTTGATATAAACTATACATTTATACTGTAAATGATGTCATTGCTAACGGTATGATATTAGATATTCTGTCACTGTCGTATTTGTGATAATTTAAAATAAAACATGGAGACTGTACAGATTCTAAGTCATTGCAACCCTCCTGCTATTAAAATTATGTAGTGTTTGTGATAATATTAAAATTAAAATGGCATCCACAGTTTTTATGAAAACTATACAAGTGTATTTAAACACAATGACATTGCAAACGCGACGTCGTTAAAAATTCTGCCGTGTTTGTGATAATTTTCAAAATAAAACACGAAAACTCTTACAGATATAATTAACTCCTGATGGCCTTTAGTCAAATAATTAATCGAATCTTTTAGAGAAAATAGAGTAATGCTTGAGGGTGTCGCACTGGCTTTGTTCCGTGGTTTTTGAGTAGTTGCCATGTTTTTGTTGGCTATTGTCATAGGAACACAAGTGATTTCCAGTACGTTGTCAAGAAGAATGATCCACCATTGTTCAAACTCTGTTTAATTGTCGCGCTCACTGCCTCCCGTCAATAATACACAGACTTTGTCATTTCTACTCTTCAGTCTTTAATTTACTCCATTAAAATTTGAAGAGTTCTTTTGATGCATAACTCTTGACTTCATAATGTATTCAGACCACAATGGTTTGGTAATGTTGATAAAATTAATGATTTAATGGATTGGAAGATAAGGAAATTAATTGAATTTTTTATTATGACGTAACTCTTGAATTCAGAAAAACTTCTAGACCACAGTTAATTTATAATTTATTAGAAATATTAAAACAGAACCTGAGACATGTTGTTAGTCAGAGTTTCACGCTGTATGATCTTCAGAAAACTAAAACAGAACCTGAAACCTGTTGTTAGTCAGAGTTTCACGCTATCTGATCTTCAGACAATTATTTCATATTTTCATTTTATAAACAAATATGTCATTGAAAAATTCCAAATCAAATAAATTTTGTAGAGTTTCCACAGTGACTGTACTCTAGTGTTTTATTCTGTATATATTTATGATTAATTCAACCTAACTTCATGAAATTATCAATTAATTCTCATAATATTGTATATTTTAGGAATGTGATCAAGTCCATATTGACGATGTTTCATCCGATGATAACGGGCAAGATTTAAGGTAAGAACGAATTCAACTATTCTTTAAAAAATTCCTTTATTCAGAGTTACCATTCATGTGTACAGATCATGGGAAAAAACTGGAGATTTGCCTTGAAAAATCTGGAGATTTGCCTTGAAAAATCTGGAGATTTGCCTTGAAAAATCTGGAGATTTGCCTTGAAAAATCTGGAGATTCGCCTTGAAAAATCTGGAGATTCGCCTTGAAAAATCTGGAGATTTGCCTTGAAAAATCTGGAGATTGGGTGAAAAGTCAGGAGATTTTTCAAAGCGCAGAAATTTGTGAATATTAAGCACTAAATAGACCTACACAGCAAAAATTAACAAATCTATAATTAGGGATAGGTCTACCTAGACAAAATAATTCTAGAAATAGTGCCTGATATTTCAAATTTAGGGGCCTAAAGAACTTGAATATTGTCATTCTTCAGTATTGATTGATTCAAAAATAATGATTTACCCACTAATCATTGTATCTTCAACACACCACCTACATATTTCTACCATGTTTCACTGTAGCAGGTTACCATAGTATTAGGGACTTTTAATAATTATTTATGATCAAACATGATTTTTTAACTGACCAATCAACTTGCTTTAATGTTGCCATTTTACTGATTGTTTTGTAAGTATTCACACATACTTGAAACTCATCAATTTTATACGAATATTATATTAATCTCTATTGTATAAAATAGGTTAAAAAAGTTGTTTAAATTTCTGCCTCATACAAAACTATTTGGATAAAGTTAACCATGGTCAAAGCTAATTATTGATAAGGGAGAGGGGAGGGAGAGGGGGGTGGGGGGGTCATTATGATAATGACCACTCATAAAAGTTAAAAATACTGGATCCATGTTGACCCAATTTCACATATTTTGTCGGGATGTTTTCTGATTTAAAGGAATTTTAAAGTTAAAAAATTTTTATTTTTCAAAATTTTCGGTCAAATGTGTCAGTAGTTGAAATTATTTTAGATACATGACTGTTGCTTCGTTAATTATTTAATTATCAAATCTTAATTAATTTTAATTAATGACAAGTTTGACAAATTGACCATGTGCCTGTCATACCCCTATTTTAATTGGACCCTTATTTCAATAATTATTGTGTCAAAAGTTAAGATTATAAAATTAGGGTCTTCTGAGGGTTTTTTATTAGAATAATTTGGCATTTGATGAAATATTTTTTTGTCAGTTTGGAATAAACATTAATAATTTTCAATTTAGTTTTACAAACAATGAACATAAAGAAAGCTGAAATTGAGCTTCATCTGCAGTTAAAGAGATTGTAAAGAAGTTTTCTAAATATTTTATGTGTATCAGGGACACTGACAACTTCAATTTACATCATTCCAATTTTCAATCAGACGTCTGTGGTTCCTGTGATTCCACTTTGATACCTTGAAATTGTGGCACAAGATATTTAGATTTAATATGTTGTATATTTTAGTCAGAAATGTGAAGTAACTAGCGATCAATTTGACTAAGAAAAAAAGATTAAAAAAGGTGGTAAAATGTAATCAGAAGTTATCAGAATGTTAAACTACCAGATAATCAAATTAAATTTTATCATTTTTTATTTTCTTTCATCTTAAACAGATGATTACTTTATCTTTCTTGTTGAAATATCTTCATTTTATTTTTTAACAAATTATTTATCAAGTGAAGAAATCAGGGAATTTAAACTCTTTCCTCTGAAAGTATCGATATTCACAAGGAAACCTACCTACTTTTCATTTTGGACTCATTTGATACCTCATTGATGTTATGGGCTTGTCGACTTTATATTGTTGGTTGGATATATAGGCTTATATGATGTAATTTTGTCAGACTATAGATTCAGGATGATGCCTGCGAAGTAATTGAGGACCAATGCAATAAAAATTTGTACAAGCAAGACAATTCAGTTACTCAAAATCTCATCCGAAGCATGGCAAAATCAGCAGTAAAACTATTATAGTAGTGGACTCCTCCAAAGAGAAGTTCCATCAGGTGTTTCTAAAGAACTAGATATAACCGTCACACAAACTTGACTATATTTTTCACATTGTACAGGTGTTGCTTAAGTAAATTATAGTAAAATTTAAATTTGATTTGATTTCATGCCAAGTAGAACCTCTTACTCTGAAAACTATTTTCTCCAAGTTCTTAATAATACTGATACAAACACAGACTCATCTTAACCTTTGACCTCCAGTGATTTACATTATTTCAACACTGCCGAAATTACGCTACAACTGACAAAACTCAACAGGTGTTAGAGTGCCCCCTGGTGTGTGTTTTAAGGCCACACAAACACTAATTATTGAATCCTAGCGTTGATAATTAACTTGTACAAGTTCTTATCATTGCCAACTGTTACAAATTTTTACTCATTTTTCTTTGGTCTTTTTACTTTTATTTTGTTATAATCAGTTTATAAGACATTTTGAGCTTTGTGGTTTATCTTATTGGAGAAGCTTTCTTCTCATCAAAAGTTGAAAGTTTCTTTTTGGAAATTTTAGCAAGTTCTGTAGTTTAATAGATGAAAATAATACTGACAATCTTTAAAATGTAGAAGGTATATTGAGATCTAAAGACTGAAATATTCTCAGTATGAACAATGTTGTATTTGTTTTTCTTGTCCATTTGGATGATGATGTAATTCCAATAGAATGTCCCAAACATTACTTCAATCTATCTATAAAATTTAAAGATTCATCAGATCGTTAAATTCCCTAGTTTAGTTCTTTTTTCTCCTTTAATTTGAAAAAATCATAAAACATTCTCTGGTCAAATCACGATAAATTTATAGATTGAGGTCTGGACACTCTGTCCATAATAATTGAATCAGCAACGTTATGTTTCCTATTTCTACAAAATCTCATGCTTAAATTTGTCATATACAGGCTGTGCATGACAAAACCCCTCGACAGTTGGATTTCGTAAAAGAGCAGGCTAATGCCGCTGTCCTGGCATAATTTCCCTCATTGCACACTGCATGGTGTTGCCTGTCTTCATTAGCCAACATGGTGCAAAAATGTAGGACGTTTTTTTAAATTTGTCGTGTGTGTAAGGTTTATTAAGGAAAATGGTCTCAAATCCAAATCAGCTTTATTTAAATGGAAAATTTATATTTTTCAGTAATTATAACTTCGCGACTGATGGATTCCATGCAGCAGCTAATAACGCTACGTTATGCCTAGCAACGGGAGTACGGGGAGGTGTTGATTGGATGAGAAAATTAGCGTTCCGATATCGCCGAATGAAAGAGATTTATAATACATACAGAAATAATGTTGGAGGTAGGTTTGAAATTTTATTCATTATTTTTATTGTAAGTCAATGTTAACAATAAAAAATATTCTCTGGATCAGGTACTAAGGATTCGAACCCACAGCACCTAGTTGCATAGCAGACGACATTCATCATAGTCACTAACAGTCCATTTACATGACTATAAGCAATGGTTACACTACCAACTCTTTTCTAAACTCTTTCCCATCCCTAGCTCAACTGTTATTTTACTATTTTCTAGGATTATTGGGTACCCCGAAACGTGAACAGTGGTTACAACTACGACAGGAAATAGAACAATATACTGATAACTGGTTAACAACGGCTTTACGTTCTCTTTCTATTATAAACTCTAGGTAAGATTCACTTTAAACTTTTGCCTTAATTCTATTATTCTTATTCCAAAGGTCTAATTCTTTATATCTTTCGGTGCTTTTCTCTAATGACTGGAGGAGGTGCGGTGGCTCAGTGAGTTAGACGCTTGTTCGCTAACCTGAAGGTCCAGGGTTCAATCCAGACATAGGTCGAGATAATACCTTTGGATTTTTCAACCCGGTCCCCCCCTGTCTGTGATGCAGGCAAGAGGGGCTGACATGGAAAAAGCGTGTAGTTGATCAGATGGGACAATAAAATGAGGCTCCGTGTGCTACAGGCTGTGTACGTTAAAGACTTCTCGACAGTTGGAAATCGAAAAAGATCATGCTAATGCCGCTCATGGCACCCTGTATGGCGTTGCCCGTCTTCGTTAGCCCACATGGTGCAGAAAAGTAGGACGTAAAACTCCATTCATTTCATTTCTCTAATGACTGGAACAGCTTAAAGGTCTCTTTCTCAAGTCGTCTGCTCTATGTAACCTTCAATTCCAAAACTAGATGTCCTGATGAGGGTTTGTAAATGTTTCAGAGACGCTATATCTACTACCTTGTTTAAATGTAAACTGACACATAAAAAAAATTATTTTGCATCATTGCTTATCTCAAAAAGTTTGACCTATATATATGATAATGTGAAATAAAAAATATCTTGGAAAATGGACAGAGCTTTCAACAATGAATATATTGTTCAATAACCTACAATTTGTTTGGATTAGTTTCAACTTTGACCTCTTTATCACTGAATTCTAATGTAATTTGTTCAAATTCTTGACAAAAGTGAGAAATTGTTTGAACTAAATTTGGTGGAATTTGTAAATTCTGATGCTGAATAGATGTTACACCCATTTCGAGGTTAAATCAACTATTTTTCATGTTTTCTCTAAAAACAATCTTTGTTTTCTTTTAATTTTAAAAACTAAATAACACTGGCAATGTTTTCTCACAGTTTTTGATCATCACGCCTTTTGATCTAGCGATGTTTATCTTTTAATTGGGAAGGTTCGTTAGCTAATTACTGATTAATTGACTTCAGGATGGTCTGTTTTGTCTCTTTCTTCCACAAATCTTCAAAACATTTTTTTTTACACAATTTCACACATTTTAAAACTTGTCTTGAGCTATTTCTTACATTTGCAAACAAAATTTTAATGACATTTAGAAAAACATAAATTTCTGTCTTTAGTTTTTCATCCAGAAATTATTTACACTATCTTCAAACTTAGTTCCAAACCATAATATAAGGTTGCGTTATTTAACGTGATCTCTACCCCTTAATGTTGTTTCAAAATTTTGATTTTTGATTGTGAATTTTGTTGATATTTCAGGACAAATTGTGTAAATGTTTTGGTGACTACAACACAACTAGTTCCAGCTCTAGCTAAAGTTTTATTATATGGTTTGGGCGGTGTCTTTGATATAGACAATATATATAGTGCTACAAAAATAGGTAGGTAGGGGTCAGGGTTAATACTGAGGGGTGGGGCATGTTAGGGCTTGGGCACAGGATGGGATGGGGGTGAAAGAGTAATTTGAAAGAGAAGAAAAGGAAGGATTTGGATATAAAACAGATATTTTTTTTGAAAAATATTCCAAGATACGCAATAGTTTAGGAAGTTGCTGAAATAATATAAAATAACTTAAAATGTAATACAAAGAATCGTTATAAATTATTTTGATTGATATTCAAGAAAATATAAACACAATGGTTATTATTCCTAAGAAACATGCCAAATCTAAGATTTTCTTCAACCAACTTGACGCCATGGCGTTACACCTTACAGTAGTTAATAAAAATACAAAAAAAAAACAACGGAATTTTATCAATTAAACGTCAATCTACAGACGGGTTTGTTTTGATTTCGAGTTTTATTTTATTTTCGTATCTTCTTCTCTCTACCTTAGATAAATTATTTTTTCGTGTTTCACAGATTAAAATAATGTTTGGATTTCGTGAAAATGCAGAAACTTTATTTGATAAAAACTATTATGAATTTGATATAGTCGCGTTAAGTTTCTAGTTAGGGAAGGTAATTTTAACTCCACCTTTTAATATGTACCAGGCGTCCGAAGATAAAATTCTGTGCTGTCTGATATGGCGATTGTTGTCAGCGGGGAATATGGTGAGCAGAAACCATTAGATACTGATTAAACTACCTGGATTCAAATACTCACTGAGGAAAATAAACACAGGTTTTGATGTCATAGGGCGTGGTTCTGTCATTCTTTTCATTACTCTATCGCTAAGATAAGTCTCCTACCAGCATGCTTTGTTCAAAATGGTGGAATATTTGTTATGATTGTGTCGTTTGGAATGTAATTCTATCAATTCACCAGATGGAACGTGTAGAAATCAGCATGAGAAGAACTTCGACACATCTTGGGTATTTCCTGACTAGATTGGATAGTAAGCCGAGAACATTGAGCGTAAAATGGTCTTAATTCTAGTAAATAGTTGCCCTTTCGCGAGACTGATCAGGTGGCAAAATATCTCAGAACATTTTCTTTCAAGGTCACCAGGTCGTTTACACAAAAACAAAATCCATGCTAAATTTACCAAAGTTTTCGTTTTATCTTTTTATATTACAAAGGAAATAAACAGCGAAATAAAATAGTTTGAAATAATCAGAGATGAGTTTTATAATAATAATAATAATAATTATTCTTTAATCTCATTTCGTTACCATGTGAACAAATAAAAACAATATCATCGAAACAAATGGTTACATCAAAAATTCGCTTTTAGCTACTTTTAAATTCGGTTACTGAAAGCTTTGGAAAGGTTATGTTAATATTTTTATGCCTTTTTCTCTGAATCTTGCTGGGATACACGATACTTTTGAGTCGTATTTTCCCTGAGAAATAAAAAAATATGTTTTGTCGATTTTTAGTTTTTAGTTTTTTTCTGATGTGTAACTAGATATTTATTTGATTCGCTATTTTTTTGTTAATGTGAAAATTTTGTTTTTGATAATTGATTTAGTTTGTTAGCAAGGTCCAAACTTTCTTACCATCATGGTTGAATTGAAGCGAGTCGTTTTATTTTTTAAGGATAATTTGCAAATTTAATAATTTTTCCTACCTTGAGGAGGATTCGAATCAGATAGCGGACAGCCATCCAACTGGCTATCGTTTATTTTATGTCAGGAAATATGAGAGTAAAATTGCCATAAATATCACAGGTCTAGATCTTGAGACTTGATCTATATATTTTACTGTTATTTAATTAGTAAATTTGATGATAAATTTAATTTAATTAGTAATTTGATGATAAATTTTGTTTCATTTTCAGGAAAAGAAAGTAGTTTTGAAAGAATTGTATCTCGTTACGGTAGAAAATGTACGTACGTCGTCGTGGGTGATGGTCGAGATGAAGAAACAGCGGCCAAACAGGTAAATATTATTAACATTAGTCTTGGCTTGTTCCGAAACCTTTATATTACATATTATACATATCATCAATGATTAAATTATTATTACATAGACAGAATCAACAAATATTTCATATTTAAAAGATTTCAACAAATGTTCAAAATTCAATTATTGTTGAATAAATAAACAGAGGACTAACAATCCGAACTGCAAAACGAAACCTTGAAACAACATATTGACAAACATTGAATGGTAATTTAACTGTAATTTTCCATGTGAATTTTTCTGGCTTAATGTTTTTAAAAGTGACCAGAAATCAAGAAATATTTTTTTCTCTTTTCAGATGACCTGGCCATTTTGGAGAATTTCAAACCATTCCGATCTTGCTGCCCTTCACCACGCCCTGGATTTAAACTACCTCTAAATCAACCAATCATAGGTTTCCTAACATAATATATTATCCAATCAAATAACATTTAACATTTTATCATTATTTTAAAAAACAAAGTATTCAATTTCAACCAAAGAGCATAATATATCATCCAATGAGATTTGTTGGTATAAATAGAGCTGACCAATCAGTGGACTTGGTACAGAAATAAGTGACTGTGCTCGACATTCGAGTGAAAATGACGCTCCGAGAGAATTTAGTGCTGTGGTAAAATCGTTTATTATATACCATAATTATGATGTCATAATGACAAATTTAAATTACCCAATCAAAATGATGGAAAAATAGAGTAACCAATGGTAAAGAAGGAATGTAAAGTGATGAACCAATCAGAGACTCTCTTAACATCTCTAGCTGTGTTGAACTCTGTGCTGTGTGTGAAATCCTAGAATTATTTATTCGACAATCAACATTGCAGAGATGTAACAAACAATATGATTGGTTGATGAGAAAGAAAGCCAGAAAGTGGAGACACATATCGTGTCGAAGGCCATGAGCCTGTGAAGTGGAGTAAAATGCAGATATTGTCGACTGCTGAAAGGACTGGCTGTGGAAATAGAAATTAATCGTAAATGTGATTTGACAGAAAAGTATAAAGATATAAAAGAATGTTGGATACTGTGATGCGATTGGTCAAAAAGATTTTGAAACTTTAAATCATATTGATTTGATTGGTGGAGTAAAATGTTTCCATGGAAATAAGTGGTAATAAACATCTAAATAGTGGGAACAATTAATGAAGAAAATCTTCAAAAAATGCTGTTTATAAAACATATAGTGTGTGGAGGAGATTTTAGTTAAACTTTCATCTTAGATTAGAAAAAATTATCAAGTTCAAGGTCATTTGTTTGACCTCTTACAAGGTGAAGGTCAATTATTCAAATTGTTGAATTTCATCTGAAATGATCTTAAGTTCATCAGGGTTGATATTTTATGTAACTTGGTTTTACCTTTAGTTAAAAGATCATTGTGTGACCTTTCAAGGTCATTAGTTACTATGACATTGAATTTTGACCAATCATTCCCATAGTGAAGTGTTTCTCTAAAAAAAAAGATGTTTTAAGGCTCCTTGTTGCTTTTTGTTGTCAAAATATGTACGGTATATGTATAATAGTTAATGTACTTTTTACAAACAAATCTGTTTAAAAGATCAGGAATTTTTGATTGACTGGATCGTTGCAATCGCAGATTTCCTGGTAATTATCTGTTAATGCACCTGTCAATTCATATTCAAATCGTAGGGCTTGGTACATAATCCAATCAGATTACTGTATTTCTGTTATCTCGATTTTATCTTATTTTAGTTTTCAAGAATAAGGCCCCAGGTTGATTTTTTTCAACTGTTTATTTTGTTGCTGCTTATTATATAAATGTCAATAAAAAAGGGGACAAATTTTGTCTTCTCTGATTATTTCTTGTTTTCAGGGGTAATTATTATTTTAAACTTCTACCACGAACAAAAACCATCTTACTTAGACCACTATTATACTATTTTAACACACCATTTGTTTAAGTTTTGAAAATTAAACACCTGCATCTATTTCTCCAAAATATATCTGAATTTCTTGTAAATAAGGAATTTTACACGCTGAAATTTGATCAGTATTTTTGAGAAATGATCTGGAAATTAAGGATGTGTATTTATATATTTGGTTTATTTTTAACCTTTTTTTGTCTTTTTTTTTTTTTTTAAATTTAACATAATTTCACAACTATAAGTAATATTTGGAAGTTCAACTTTCAAGCAGCGCAACATACCAAAATATACTTTGTAGTCTTATGACATTTTTAAGTAAGTCGTATATTTTGGCTGGAAAAGTTGTCAATATGTGATTAAGTTTCGTCCCATTTTAGTTAACCTTGCCTCATAATAATAAACTTATCATTCCATTTCTAATCTTCACTATTCATTTACAGACTCAAGTTTCATTTTTCTCTCCAAAACTTTTGTGAATTGGCTATCATCTAAAAAAAACTTGAGGTTCTATGAAATATACTAACAAATTTAACTTGACATGCAAATTGAATTCAAATTCCAAATATTATCATGGAAGAAAAATGAAAATAAAGTCTGTAAAGTTCATTAGTATTTCATTTTTAGATTTTCAAATTTTAGCTCAACACATTTTTACATTTAGTTAAATTTTTAGTTTTAAAATTGTGTGTGCTTTTTCGCGTGATTTTATCTAATTAATCATCATCCATTATCTTCATCTTAATTAATAATTAACTCATTAACTAATCATAGATCAGAATGAATGAATAAATTTGCATATATTTGCATAAATTAATATCAATTGATTGTAATTGATTTAACCGATTAAAACCATACATTGATACCAATGTTACAAAGTTTTTTTTCTTTTAATAATTTAGTTTGTCAATGAAGTAAGGGTGATGAAATATTTCTGTAGCTTTTGCAAAATTTAGCATTGATTAAGTTTTTTGTGTTTTTTTGTCAAAAAAAGGAACAAAATTTCCATTATTCAACAAATTTGTTATGTTAAACTAAATGTTGAAATAATTCGTAAAAAAATTAAACAATGAAATATTTTTAAATGTAAAATTTGAGTGGATTGTTGGTTTCTTTCTGTTAAAGATAAACATGAACATTGTGGAACAGTGTGTTATTTTGTTACAAATTAAAATATGTATAAATATGAAAACAGAAAAACTTCTTGACAATCTCTCCTTGCTGATTTTACTATTCTACTGGTTGACAGAATACCATTTTTTTAAGGGAGAGCGATGTAGGTAACTTAACGAAAAAGTCTTAGGGCTTTACATTTTTATTGAAGCGTTGTTAAAGTTAATATCTTCATGCCGGCAAATTTTCTTAAATCAGACATGATTGGTGAACAGGCTACTGTAAGAGAAATCTTTGATGGGGCAATGCTCCACCCTTAGATTTGGTTGCCCAGAATACAGTAAAATTGGTGTGATAAAAAAATTATTGCCCTATGATTAGTAAAATCAGCATAAGTCCTAAATTTATTTTTGTTTTTTTGTCAATATTTGGGTGCCATGTGACCATTATAATAGAAAGTTGTGTATAAATGAAATAACAAGTAAATATATAAATACTGTCAACTTTGTTGTTATTTTTTTTTTCACCTGACATTGTCACACTAACAGGGAAATAATGTCGACGATATTATGACATGTTTGACACCATTTCTCTGTTAGTGACGACATTGTGACATGTTTGACACTATTTCTCTGTTAGTGTGACGGTATTGTGACATGTTTGACACTATTTCCCTGTTGGTGTGACGATATTGTGACATGTTTGACACCATTTCCCTGTTAGTGTGACGATATTGTGACATGTTTGACACTATTTCTCTGTTAGTGTGACGACATTGTGACATGTTTGATACTATTCCCCTGTTAGTGTGACGGTATTGTGACATGTTTGACATTATTCCCCAGTTAGTGTGACGGTATTGTGACATGTTTGACACTATTTCCCTGTTAGTGTGACGATATTGTGACATGTTTGATACTATTCCCCAGTTAGTGTGACGGTATTGTGACATGTTTGACATTATTTCCCTGTTAGTGTGACGATGTTGTGACATGTTTGACACTATTTCCCTGTTAGTGTGACGATATTGTGACATGTTTGACACTATTTCTCTGTTAGTGTGACGACATTGTGACATGTTTGACACTATTTCCCTGTTAGTGTGACGATATTGTGACATGTTTGACATTATTTCCCTGTTAGCGTGACAATGTTTCGACATGTTTGACACTATTTCCCTGTTAGTGTGTCGATATTGTGACATGTTTGACATTATTTCCCTGTTAGTGTGACGATGTTGTGACATGTTTGACACTATTTCCCTGTTAGTGTGACGATGTTTCGACATGTTTGACACTATTTCCCTGTTAGTGTGACGATATTGTGACATGTTTGACATTATTTCCCTGTTAGCGTGACAATGTTTCGACATGTTTGACACTATTTCCCTGTTAGTGTGACGATATTGTGACATGTTTGACATTATTTCCCTGTTAGTGTGACGATGTTGTGACATGTTTGACACTATTTCCCTGTTAGTGTGACGATGTTTCGACATGTTTGATACTATTTCCCTGTTAGTGTGATGACATTGTGACATGTTTGACACTATTTCCCTGTTAGTGTGACGACATTGTGACATGTTTGACACTATTTCCCTGTTAGTGTGACGACATTGTGACATGTTTGACACTATTTCCCTGTTAGTGTGACGATGTTGTGACATGTTTGACACTATTTCCCTGTTAGTGTGACGACATTGTGACATGTTTGACACTATTTCCCTGTTAGTGTGACGACATTGTGACATGTTTGACACTATTTCTCTGTTAGTGTGACGATGTTGTGACATGTTTGATACTATTTCCCTGTTAGTGTGACGATGTTTCGACATGTTTGATACTATTTCCCTGTTAGCGTGACGACATTGTGACATGTTTGACACTATTTCCCTGTTAGTGTGAGGACATTGTGACATGTTAGACATTATTTCCCTGTTAGTGTGACGACATTGTGACATGTTTGATACTATTTCCCTGAAAGCGTGACGACATTGTGACATGTTTGACACTATTTCCCTGTTAGTGTGACGATGTTGTGACATGTTTGACACTATTTCCCTGTTAGTGTGACGATATTGTGACATGTTTGATAGTATTTCCCTGTTAGTGTGACGATATTGTGACATGTTTGACACTATTTCCCTGTTAGTGTGACATGTTTGACACTATTTTTGTTATTGTGACATGTTTGACACTATTTTTGTTATTGTGACATGTTTGACACTATTTTTGTCAGTGTGACTTGTTTGACACTATTTCCCAATTTGACAAATTTCCCAAATAGTGTGACGTTACTATAACATGTTTGACATTAATCCCTTGTTTGTTACAGTGACATGTTTGACACAATATCCCCGTTAGTTTGACATGTTGGACACTATATCCGCCAGTGTCACATGTTTGACAATATCTCCCTGTTAGTGAGACATGTTTGACAATATTTCCCGTTAGTGAGACATGTTTGACACTATTTCCCCTTCAGTGTTTCATGTTTGACACTATATTCCTGCCAGTGTGACATGTTTGACACTATTTTCCTATTAGTTAGTGTGACATGTTTGACACTATAGCTCTGTAATTGTGACATGTTTGACACTTTATCCTCATCAGTGTGACATGTTAGACACTACATTCCCGTTAGTTTGACATGTTTGACACTATTTTCCTGTCATTGTGGCATGTTTGACACAATCTCCCTGTCATTGTGACATATTTCACTGCTAGTGTGATATGTTTGAAACTATTTCCCCATTAGTTTGACATGTTTGACACTTTATTCCCGTTAGTTTGACGTGTTTGACACTATTTCACCGTTAGTTTGACATGTTTGACACTTTATTCCCGTTAGTTTGACATCTTTCACACTATTTCCCCGTTAGTTTGACATGTTTGAAACTATTTCCCCGTTAGTTTGACGTGTTTGAAACTATTTCCCCGTTAGTTTGACGTGTTTGACACTTTATACCCGTTAGTTTGACATGTTTGACACTATTTTCCCGTTAGTTTGACATGATTAACGCTATATTCCCGTTAATTTGACATGTTTGACACTATATTCCCGTTCGTTTGACATGTTTGACACTATTTTCCTGTCTTTGTGGCATGTTTGACACTATATCCCTGTTAGTGTTACATGTTTGACACTATTTCCCTACCAATGGTACATGTTTGACACTATATCCCTGTTGGTGTGACATGTTTGACACTATTTTCCTGTCATTTTGACATGTTTGACACTATTTTCCTGTTGGTGTGACACATTTGACACTATTTTCCTGTCATTTTGACATGTTTGACACTATTTTCCTGTCGTTTTGACATGTTTGACACTATTTTCCTAACAGTATGACATGTTTGACACTATTCCCCTGTTTGTTAGACATGTTTGACACTATTTCCCCATTAGTTTGACATGTTTGACACTATTTCCCTACCAATGTGATATGTTTGACACTATATCCCTGCCAGTGTGACATGTTTGACACTATTTCCCTGTCATTTTGACATGTTTGATACTATTTTCCTAACAGTATGACATGTTTGACACTATTCCCCTGTTCATTATGGAATGTTTGACACTATTTCCCCGTTGGTTTGACATGTTTGACAAAAATGTGACGTTCAATATGTTGGCGAAACTCAAAACGCGTTGCGTACTCGTCTTAGCGGTCATCGCTTCGATATACTCCATAAGAAAGATAGACCGATTGCGAATCATTTGAATTTACCCAATGATTCCGTTGAAGATCTTTTTGTTATGCCTACAGAAAAAGTACCTGTATCAACATTGATCAAACCAAAAACCAAGCGATTACAAAGGGAGACTTTTTGGATAGACCAACTACAAACAGTCATACCTAACAGCCTAAATATCCGATATGACAACCAAATCATACCCTTCATTTCAACCGCTTTTATAATGAGCTCCAAGATGAATTTCCAAACGTTTATACTAAACGTTTGGTCACTGCATATAAAAGAAATCAAAACTTTAGTAATGTATTGGTTCATGGTAGATTGGAACCCCTTTCATCAACTCCCTGAAACAATTGCAATGGAATTTGAGTTGAATTTATATTTTTTCTTGTAATCTCTACAGAAGTAATAATCTATGAATAATCTTCAGTAAAACATATTCTGTTTGAATTGAAATAGTTTTTATGTTGAAATCCATAGTCTCTACTTGTGACCTAGGCCAGTGCTTCTATAACACCTATAACTACATCCCTGCTAGTGTGACATGTTTGACACTACTTTCCTGTTACTGTGACATGTTTGTCAAAATATTCCCATTAGTTTGACATGTTTGACACTGTATCTTCGTTAGTTTGACATGTTTGACACTGTATCTTCGTTAGTTTGACATATTTGACACTATATCCCCGTTAGTTTGACACTATTCCCCATTAGTTTGACATGTTTGACACTATTTCCCACTTACTTTGACATGTTTGACACTATTTCCCCATTAGTGTGACATGTTTGACACTATTTCCCTACCAATGTTACATGTTTGACACTATATCCCTGTTGGTGTGACTTGTTTGACACTCTATCCTCGTTAGTGTGACATGTTTGACACTATTTCCCTACCAATGTTACATGTTTGACACTATATCCCTGTTGGTGTGACTTGTTTGACACTCTATCCCCGTTAGTTTGACATGTTTGACACTATTTCCCTACCAATGTGACATGTTTGACACTATATCCCCGTTGGTGTGACATGTTTGACACTGTATCCCTGTTTGTTAGACATGTTTGACAATATTTCCCCATTAGTTTGACATGTTTGACACTATTTCCCTACCAATATTACATGTTTGACACTATATCCCCGTTGGTGTGACATGTTTGACACTATTTTCCTGTCATTGTGACATGTTTGACACTATATCCCCGTTAGTTTGACATGTTTGACACTATTTCCCTACCAATGTTACATGTTTGACACTATATCCCTGTTGGTGTGACATGTTTGACACTATTTTCCTGTCATTGTGACATGTTTGACACTATATCCCCATTAGTTTGACATGTTTGACAGTATTCCCCTGTCAGTATGACATGTTTGACACTATTTCACGGTCAGTATGACATGTTATCCCTGTTGGTGCGACATGTTTGACACTACTTCCCTATCAATGTTACATGTTTGACACTATATCCCCGTTAGTTTGACATGTTTCATACTATTTTCCTGTCTTTGTGGCATGTTTGACACTATATCCCTACCAATGTTACATGTTTGACACTATTTCCCTACCAATGGTACATGTTTGACACTATATCCCTGTTGGTGTGACATGTTTGACACTATTTTCCTGTCATTTTGACATGTTTGACACTATTTTCCTGTTGGTGTGACACATTTGACACTATTTTCCTGTCATTTTGACATGTTTGACACTATTTTCCTGTCGTTTTGACATGTTTGACACTATTTTCCTAACAGTATGACATGTTTGACACTATTCCCCTGTTTGTTAGACATGTTTGACACTATTTCCCCATTAGTTTGACATGTTTGACACTATTTCCCTACCAATGTGATATGTTTGACACTATATCCCTGCCAGTGTGACATGTTTGACACTATTTCCCTGTCATTTTGACATGTTTGATACTATTTTCCTAACAGTATGACATGTTTGACACTATTCCCCTGTTTGTTAGACATGTTTGACACTATTTCCCCATTAGTTTGACATGTTTGACACTATTTCCCTACCAATGTTACATGTTTGACACTATATCCCTGTTGGTGTGACATGTTTGACACTATTTTCCTGTCATTGTGACATGTTTGACACCATTTTCCTGTCATTGTGACATGTTTGACACTATTTC